TGGACACAACATGTATTTTAAGTTAATGGATTAGGCTGCAGCTGAAATTAGGACAGAAAAACTGCCTCAGCTCTTGTAGGACTCCCACTCTTTGCTTTTCCAAATTACTTCAAACAACATGGGTCCAATATTATTTTTCCACAATTATCCATGGCTTGTCTGCAATTCAGATTCAACTATTTGATAAGCCTGCAGCTATTGAAGTAGGACCTCCCTTATTACAACAATCTGTAACCCACAAATTACCCTTTTCCTCCTATGCCTGCAGGGGTGTCAACATCTTGAATAGTACATTGCAATACTACTTATGCTAAAATATCTGTTCAACCTTGTGTTTAGCAGTGATGCTCTGGGGGTCTTTCCCAGACAAGAGCAACCTTTTGTAGCTCCAAAAATCCTCTCTCACACCAACAGAAGTTGGTCCACTAAAAATGACACTGATATTCTGAGTCCAATCCACTAGAGGGTGCTGTGTAATTAGAGAATAAAAGGATTTAAAACATACATTGCACAACGAAGCAAGTTTCTGAGCTAACAGAGCCGCGTGGAAATGCATTGAAGATGCACTTATAACAGGTTTCATCCTCTAGTCCTATATCACGTAGCGTGATGGATGATGCTCTCAGGCTTGTATCGTTAAAGCAAACTTTCTTGTTGACAGGCCCTATGAACCTGATTCCATGTGCCTTGCTGTAGGTAGCTATGTTTTTGTATGACGAGCCTTCCAGCTTCTGCCATGTGACTTGTAAAACATCGTCAGGGTGTGTAAATTGACATTTCAGGGTCACATCTTCACCTATGGCTGCTGCAGGAACTCTCTCACATCTCACTACTTCATTGGCACCTGGAAACAGAATCATATCAAGGTTCACATTGAAAGAGAGACAGCACCAGCCATGGAGGCAATCTCTATGACAGCCCTGGCACATCACATTGTGCATGTATGTATATCACATAGACCCAGGACCACAGTGTGGATGTGTTGCATCTGAGATGCTACCAGATGCCTAGGTCTTCTGTGAGAGAGATACTCTACAAGCGACAGCGACGAGGAGCCCTGTGGCATGTTATAGACTAACAGACTTATTGGAGCATAAGCTTTCGTGGGCAAAGACCCACTTCGTCAAATGTCTATAAGATGCCACAGGACTCCTTGTTGCTTTTGCAGATTCAGACTGAGACGGCTACCCCTTTGATACTCTGCAAGTGACACACAGTTTCCTGGCCTGCGTGGTGTGAAAGCAGAAAGAATTATATTGTAAGAGAAAGATGAATTATGCTATAATAATTGAATAAGTTGAAGGAATCCTGTTTGTTTCTGAACAGGAAGGAGAAAAGTATGTTAATGTTGTTTGTAGGTATGCAAATCAGAGTGCTAGCCAGGTACACCTGGGGTAACAGGAAAAGGAAACATTAGGTGTTATGCAGAAAGTAATTGAGATAACCAGGGAGATATGGACAAGCAATTGCTGTGTGCTTGATGTGGAAATGAAGATATTTGACTAGTCTCATACTAATCATGTGAAGTTTTGCCACCTTTTAATCTTGTAAAGTTGGCTTTCTTTTGACTGCATAAATCTAAGGGGTTTGAGCCTTGCATGGTACTCACATTTTCTGGGTACATTTTAGCAGAGCAGCTTTGCTAATAAACAGCAGTCTAACAAATCTGTGAGTCCTGTCTGACTTTGACAGTGGTCATAGGAAAGTAATAATTAACACAGCTTGAGATATTCCAGGCTGGGTTAAGAGCTGGTTATAGGCAGGATGAAACAGAAAGTGTTAGATAGAAGCCTTGTATTATCCAAGTAACACATGGAGGAATAGGTCCCGCGGACAGCCTTCTGAAGTGCTCCTTTACTCTGTGTGGACTGTTTTTGCCTGGGGAGACAGTGACAGACGTTTCCAAGTCGTTGCAAGCTGCGATAACTCAGAGATGAGTTAGGCATGACAGAACTCAGAGGAAGTTCACAAAGGAGCTCTCATTTAGCCAGCTATAAGGCCAGGGAGTACAAAATGAAAATTCTTCACTGAAATCCTTCCCTAGAGATGAAGCAGTGAAATAAAAAACAAGCTTTGCCCAATGAGAGTTGCCGCACATGCTTGTTGAGCTCTATTTCAGATGTGCAAAGATAGTACCAGATTTAAGGGGTCTAAAATCTATTCCTAGTGGGGCGGGCCAGACCTTACAAAGATTAACTTACAGACACCTGCCCTTCCATTCCCTATCACGTGAATTAGCCTCCATTAAATAAATCATTACACCATAGTGACTTGAAGCAGTTGCAGCAATGCCCAACATTGTGAAGGAATAGCAGGGGAGGATATAGAGAGTTTTTTCATCTGTGTAAAGTCTTTTGCCCTTTTTTAGAAGTTTATCACCCAGTCTCCCTTTGTGACTCTACCTCCCTCCTGTTTGGTTGGATCTCCTCTGCCCTTCTACTTGTCTGCCCCCTAATCCTCTCTTTACCTTGCTAAGTCCCTTTATCTCCTAGGACATAGTTCACCCATTAGCTGTGCCTGGCTCTTCCTCTCCCAGGGAAGAAACCTCTACCGTCTCATTTGTTTCCCACTTCTGTACATTTGGGTGCCATGTGTGGATTATCTACAAATAAAAGTTTTTCTTACTAGTCCTACCATACACCTAGGCTGTGTCTAGACTGGCAAGTTTTTCCACAAAAGCAGTTGCTTTTGCGGAAAAACTTGCCAGCTGTCTACACTGGCCGCTTGATTTTGCTCAAGAGCACTGACTTTGTAATGTACAAAATCAGTGCTTCTTGCGCAAATACTTTCACGCTCCCATTCAGGCAAAAGCCCTTTTCCGGAAATGCTTTTGCGCAAGAGGGCCAGTGCAGACAGCTAAAAACTGTTTTGTGCAAAAAAGCCCCGATGGCAAAAATAGCGATCGGAGCTTTCTTGTGCAAAACCGTGTCTAGATTGGCACAGACGCTTTTCCGCAAAAAGTGCTTTTGCGCAAAAGCGTCCGTGCCAATCTAGATGATCTTTTCCGCAAATGCTTTTAATGGAAAAAAATTTCCGGAAAATCATGCCAGTCTAGACGAACCCTACTATGTAATCAGATCGAGGAACTGCCTGGCCAGAGAAACACTACATGCTGAATCATCCAGGGCATCAGTGAGACTGATCTAACCTGCATGGTGCAGTACTCCCTCCACTCATGGCCTCAAAAGAGACTTGTGACACACATCAGAATGTTTCTTCCCAGCTCTTTCATGATCTCAAACAAAATCCCAGATGGATCATGGGTGAGCTTAGGTTTTCAAAACAGCACTTAGACCTGACTTGCATGTAATTTGAGATACAGCAAGGGAGAAAAGGGGCTCTGCTGTCACTTATCACCACAGCCTGGAAAGATGACTTCAGGGTAGTACAGAGCAGCGAGGTCCCAGCTCTTAACTTTGGATTTGATCTTTCATTTCCCTCCTTGTACTACAGAGGAACAGTCTGCCACATGATCCCAGGTGCTTCCTCTGGCACCTGCCCTGCCCCTTCACGAAACAGGCAGGAGAGTGGACTTTGCTCTTTTCTGTGACTACACTCTGCTCTCTGTGAATATCACTGCTCCTAGTGCTCATTCATGTACACTGCTTAGTAGCTGTTGTAATCCTACAAATAAGGGTCTAGGATCAGATCCCGAGTCACTGTAGGAAAACCTTTCTTCTAAAATTATTTTAAGAAGAAATTGACATCACTTGAGATGAACATCACAGAAAACAGCTTTTAAAAATACACCTTCCCCTATTCATTGCTATTTGCTTTTGGATTTTCATTAGCTTTGGACATGAGACTAGGCTGATCTGTTCTATTTCTGTTCTAATCAGTTTAACTTTCTGTCACCCAAGCATAAACAAAAGGCTGCAATGTTTGTGTTACTATATAGGTTGCAAACACGGCAGGAGGCTGCCCATTTTGGCAAAACCTAAATTCCCACTGGGAACACGGGAATCTGCCATAGCAGAATAAATTAATGGCTCATCTGGGGCAGTATCCAATCTCTGACTATAACAATTAGCAGGGGAAGTACTCCAAGGTGGGAATTTACAGAATAATCTCTTTTCAGTGGCATTTCTTTGTAACATCTCCTGGAGGTTAGCTAATGCCCTAAAGCAGAAAACTTTAAATCTATTTAACAGTTAAATAGATCCTAAACAGATGAGACTGGGATGTTCTCAGGCAACTGTCTGATTCTAGCTGGATCCTGTCAAACACTTGACATCATTATGCAGTAGCAATAAGTTCCGCAAGCTTATTGTACACTGTGTGGAAAAGCATAGTCTTTTATCTGCTTTAAATTAGGTGCTTTTCCTTTTTATGTAAGGTCTCCTTTTTATATCATGAGAGGACAAAAAAAATACTACAGAAATAAAGTGCTCATTGTTCTTTAAACCTATTTGTTGATATTTATTGTAAGTGGAAATTTATAGAATTATTGGATAAGGTGAAAAGGAAATTTTCCCCCTCTCTGTCCCTGCCAAAATGTGGCATTGCTCACTCTTGCTAGTATTGTTATAAGACTTGTCTGACAGAACAGGGCATCTGTTCACTCCCTTCCTTCTGCTTTCCTTTCTTTACGCTACATGTTCTCCACTCTATTTAGGACTGAATCGTCCAGTGATCTCTGTCATTCATCGGATATACAAAACAGTAGAATAAAGGACTCACCTGTAAACAGAGCTCTAAACAAGCTGTGTATCCAGAGCAGCGTGAGCAAACACATCTTGGAGATGCTTTTAAGCTTTTAGTCTTATGGAATTTTTTTCTTTTCCCCGCTGGATTTACAAAAAGAGCTTCTCTTCCCACGATACAAGCTTGAATTTGGCGCCTGTTTCTTGAGTATGACTCATTGTAGGTTCATGTGCTCTCTTCCTGCTCCCCAGTGCTTCCTCACACTGCTGTAACGGTAGCTGACACCTGAGTGCCTGTCTGGCACGAAGACAAAAGAATGGTACTGTCAATTATTAACTAGCACTGAACTTTCACCAGAGCTGAGCACAAATATGGAACTCACTTTCCACCCCTTCATTTTCCTGTGGATCCCCCCACCTTTTAATGCACATATCTTATGGGACTGTGATGGATCCAACTCTGTACATTTCTATGTGATTCCTTTCACCGCTGCCTAGGAGCTCCCTCTAGGAGCGACAGTTATATTTGCTTCACAGCAATACCTGCTTCTTTTCCCTAGCTGATGAGGCAGGCCGGGCTGGAGATCCAGCTCTTTGCTACTCATGATGTTCCTGGAATCACTTTCTCTGGCTTTCCCAGGATCTCAGCCCTCAGAACTCTCCCCATAGCACGCACTTGCCCTCTTCATCACCTGCTTCCTTTCACACTCAGGAACTTCCCCATGCAGTACCTACTTCCCTCTTCCAGTGCCAACACACACACACACACATTCTCAAGTCTCCCCTCCTTCAGCTCCTACTCTGCCATCTCCCTTTGCTCTCCCACAGTCCAGAACCTCCCAAACAGACACTGCCCGCTCCTGCTCCCTCAACTTCTGCATCCTCTGCCTCCCATAGGTCAGAACCCTTCCTCCCCAGCCTCATGAGCCCAGACACATGAAAGGTTTTATGACCACATGACTGAGGTCATGACTACTTACACAATTCTCCTTCAGATGCACATGACCCAAAGACAAGAATCATGATTTTGGGGTGGGGGAATGTGTTCTATTTCATACTCAATTTTGAAATAGCTAAGCTCCACATTGATTCAAGTCATCCCTGAGTCCCTTCCACACTAAGCTTATTCTGAAAAAAAAAACCCACACTTCTCCTTGAGCCATGGCAGCTTCCTAGACCTCCCACAGCTCCCTTTCCTGAATGCAGCTACTGGCTTTGTGGTGCTGAGAACACAGTGGCAGATCAGCAAGGAGACTAAGGATGTTGCTGCTCTTGCCAGCTCTGTCACTGACTCAGCATGTGTCGGTCGCCAGGTCAGGTCCTGCTCAGTGGGTGGAGCTTTCCCAGTGGTGGGAAATGAAGGAGATAATGCTTATCCATCTAGGTAAAACAAAAAACAGGACTATGTAGCACTTTAAAGACTAACAAGATGGTTTATTACGTGATGAGTTTTCGTGGGCCAGACCCACTTCCTCAGATCAAATAGTGGAAGAAAATTGTCATAACCGTATATACCAAAGGATACAATTTTAAAAAATGAACACATATGAAAAGGACAAATCAAATTTCAGAACAGAAGGGGAATTGGGGGGGGAAAGGTAAATGTCCATGAGTTAATGATATTAGAGGTGATAATTGGGAGAGGTGATAATTGGGGAAGCTATCTTTGTAATGGGTAAGATAATTAATGTCTTTGTTTAAGCTTAGGTGTAAAGTGTCAAATTTAAGCATGAATGACAGTTCAGAAGATTCTCTATCAAGTGTAGTCTTAAAAGGTCTTTGAAGCAGGATTCAGGTAAGACTACAGTTGAAAGAGAATCCTCTGAACTGTCATTCATGCTTAAATTTGACACTTTACACCTAAGCTTAAACAAAGACATTAATTATCTTACCCATTACAAAGATAGCTTCCCCAATTATCACCTCTCCCAATTATCACCTCTAATATCATTAACTCATGGACATTTACCTTTCCCCCCCCAATTCCCCTTCTGTTCTGAAATTTGATTTGTCCTTTTCATATGTGTTCATTTTTTAAAATTGTATCCTTTGGTATATACGGTTATGACAATTTTCTTCCACTATTTGATCTGAGGAAGTGGGTCTGGCCCACGAAAACTCATCACGTAATAAACCATCTTGTTAGTCTTTAAAGTGCTACATAGTCCTGTTTTTTGTTTCAGCTACACCAGACTAACACGGCTACGTTTCTATCACACATCTGGGTAAAGTGCTTCAGGATGCACCAAAGGCAAGTACTAGGTCAGCCCTAGGATTATTTTAACAGGCTGTAGCTATGTATAAGGGTTAGCGAGGAAAGCAATAGAGACCACAGATACTTTGGAGTTTTGCTGTTTATCACATATCAATGATGGGTTCCATGTTTATTCTGTTTGTTTATTTGTATTGGAAGTGCAAGAACTAGCCTATTTTACCCCTCCTCCCTCTTCAGATGAACTGTTTGAAAGACCAGTCCAATAGTGGCAGGTGGGGCTGTGTTCTTAACTTCAATTCTCCCACAACAGGCATGGGGCAATGCAGGGGTGGCTGCTAAAGCTCAGCGAGGGGAGAGCTGAGCAAGAGAGGGAGATTCAATTTGGAGGTGGGAGTGGTGAGAGAAAGAGCCCAACTTAGGTCTGCCTAAGGTCTTGCAGGGACAAAGTGAGGAGCTGCTATTTTGAAATGTAAAAAGCTAAATGGAGAGGAAAAAACTGTAAGGCTACAACCAGACTGCAGGCTTCTTTTGGAAGAAGCTGTTTTCGGAAAAGATCCTCCAGAAAAACGTCTTCCAAAAGAGAGCGTCCACAGAAAGGCGCATCAAAAAAGCAATCTGCGTTTTCAAACGATAGAGTCCAGACTGAATGGATGCTCTCTCACATGTAAACTGTGATTGCAATGGACAGAATGACCACCAGGGCACAAGTGCTTTTTCCTCTTCTTCCAAAAGAACTCCTTCTTCCCCGTCCACACACGCCTTTTTGCGAAAGAGCGCTTGCAAGTAGGAATAAGAGATCCTCCGGAAAAGGGCTTTATTCCGGAGGATCAAGCCAGTCTAGACGCTCTTTTCCGGCTTTTCCCCAAGCCGGGAAAAAAGCGGCGGCCATGTTTATTTAAATCCCGCGGGGGATATTTAAATCCCCTGTGGATTTCCCTATTCTGACTTGCCTGTTTTGCATGCCTATTCCGTCTTATGTGGCCAGTCTAGACGTAGCCTTTGTGTGTGAGGAGCCTTTTTATTGCATTTAATGAAGGCTGGTAGTGAATTTGTTGTCATGTAAGAAAAGGAAACTTAACACTTTTTGAAATGGCAGGCTCTGTTTGAACCAGACATAAACAGGCAGTGCTTCATGCACTGAAACCATCAATGTAAGTCGTACTTGTCATTATCTCCTTTTCAGAGGAAACACTGGGTCACTGGGGAATCCAGCTACCCTTTGCTTCTTCCTTATTCTTGGTTCAGAGGGTTGCTCTCTGCAGGAGCACTGGGCGCACTGCTACTCTGGGGCTTGGTGACATTATTTACTTAGGCAATCCCACAAGTTCTGCAGGTGCTCTCTAAACAAATGAAGACACTGTCTCTGCCCCCAAAGCATATACAAATTAAGTTTTTAGCCATAGTGAGACAAGCAATAAGAAACACAGGCTGGGAAGAAGGAAAAGGGAGACAGGTTAGTAAAGAAAGAGGAGATTTGTTATATTCACCGCTTGGTAATTTTGACGTACAATAGAGCACTCCTTCAGCTGAACTGCGGGACACACCAAAAGGTTCTGACCATCTTGGCTAATAGCCACTTATGGACCTGTCCACCATGAACTTACCTAATTCTCTTTGGACCCAGTTACTCCTTTGGCTTCCGCAGTATCCCATTGTCAATGAATTCCACAGACTGACGCTGTGCTGTGAGAAGAAATGCTTCCTTAAGTTTGTTTTAAACCTGCTTTCAACTGCAAGCTAACTTAACTGGACTCTCCTTTTAAGGTACAGGAACAGAACAGACCCCACTTACATTCTTCTAGCAAGCCCAGACCCTAAAATGGCTAGAAATGTAATTAACCCCCCGCCCCCTAAAGTTCAAATTTATTTACATAGGCTCAAAGGCCAATTCTATCAACAAAGGACTCACAAGACTCTCCTCCCTCTTCCCCTCTCTCCCGCCCAAGCTCCTTTGTCTTTGGTGGGTTTTTTAATACTTTGTTTCAGGCACTAAATAGCAAACAAGAGGGCAGGCCCTATTACCAAAGTAATAGGCCCACTGGATAACCTTCTGGAATGTATACATTTACTGCCTGTTCCTAAGCCCTTATTTACAATGTGAGATTGTTACAGACACTGACTCCAGTTGTGGTGAGAAGCAACTTGTAATGACTCTATGCAGCCACAAGGTGACAGTGGGTGGCTCACAAAGAAATGCTCAGACCTTGCAGTAAGTCTAGAGGGCAGAAAATGAAAATTCTTCCCAGAAAACCCATCCTAGATATCAGGCAGTGAAATAAGAGGCAAAGATAGACAATGACCTTCAGACAGTGTGAGCTCCCCCATGCACCTTTGAACTCTATGTTGAGTTTGCAAAAGCAGGTCAAGACTACTTGGTTCTACAACTGTTTCCTAACAATATTGCCAACCGTGGGTGCACAAGAAGAACGTCATGAGAATGGTGTGTACAAGTCAGATTGCTAATTTGCTTTCTTGTGTTTGAGCCATCTGGGTGCAGTCAAGATACATATTTTAAGCTTTCCTCCACAAAACTAAAGGCTAGAACTTTAAAAACAATAGTATTTTTTTTCACGCAATCACAGGGCTAAGAAAAATTTCAGCTAGAGCCCTTCATAGAGGGACTGACTCTTGATTGCCTCATTTCCTCTTCCTCCTCATGGAAATCACCTTCAGGCCCATGTAACACCCTTCACGCCCATCTTCCATCTGATACCTTCTTATCTAGTACAGTGATGAAGTGTGGTCAGAAAGGGAGGATTTAGGTAATTTTAGCCTCTGTGTTCTGATAAGTGCTTTGCATCTCCTCCTCCACCTGGGCTGACACCCTCCCCTCTTCTGATCATGTGAACGCATGACCTTGCCAGTTACTCTTCTTTTTCTTGTAGAGGCTGCACAGCCCCCTTTACTCCAAAGCCTTCCTCTCTCCCTTAGCCCCACCTGGTTCTTCCCCTCCTATGCATCAGTGATCCCTACAAGAGTAGACTGTGCTAATTGTCCACATTTCCTTCTGCCTTTAATAGCCACCCAAATCCCCCACCCTCTTCTTCTTTTTTAATTTTTTTTTTTTTTGTAAAAACGGCCCAGATGCTGTGAGAACACACCAGAGTATGTGAACCCCTGGGGTAGGAGTGTGACCAAGAGTGATGTGTCTGCAGCGCCAAAGAGGTGATCTTCCTTTGGAACCTTTTCCCGCTCAGGACAACTCATTAACCAGCTGATATCTGAGAATCCCACTGCTCTTAACCCTTGCTCTGGTCAGCTCCCTGGCTTTGGAACTGCAGGCAAAACTCTGCTGCCTCTTCCTGTCATCCCCAGTGAGGGACTGGAGTGGGATTTGTCCTCCTTGAAGAACTGGTTAAAAAGAAATCATATTTTAAGTAAGTTTGTTTAAAGATACTAATACCTAGAGGTATGTCTACATGGGATTTATAAATACCCATGTCTGATCTGGTTCAGCTGATTGGGGCTTGGGTTGCAGGGTGGCGAATTCCTGTGCAGATGTTCGGGCTCAGGCTAGAGTCAGAGCTCTGGCACCCTGCAGAAGTGGAGCATAGAACTGTCAGCACCAGCCTGACAGTGAATGTCTACAGCCTGGTGAGCCCAAGGCATCTAGGACCAGCTACTGTAGCTGTGCCGCAGGCTTTTATCCCCATGTGGGCCTGCCCGTAGATCTTTACAGGGGAATGGATTTTGGAACTACAGTGACACCTTTGTTATCCGGCACTCTGTTAACCACAACACTTTGTTAACCGGCATTGTCCCCAGCCGCAATACTGTCACATCTTCAGGCGCACAGGCCTGGCTTGGTTTACCATGACTGGCTTAATAATTTTTTATTTAAGAAGTACTAATCATCTTTAACTCAAAGTAGAAATGTGAGACCAACAGCCTCACCCTACAAAACTACCAATATTAAAAACTTGAGTTTTACAATTATTGTCCATTGGCTTTTCCTAGGTTGATGGGACCCTCAGATAACCGACATTTTTAGATAACCGGAACGCCCTAATCCCAGAGCATGCTGGATAACACAGGTTTTACTGTATTGTCTTTCCACCATTTATGGAGTTTTGCATATCGCTCACCTCAAATCACAGGATTAGACTGGAATGTATTACTTCTGTTTCTGGTCAGTTTTACTTTCCAGCTCCCATGCAACAGCCCAAAGTTGCAAAATTTGGATTGCTAACCCTGCAGTGGGATGTTTCTTTAACAAAACCCAGAAAACACAAACAAAAAAACCTCCCCCTGGCCTCCTTACAAATGTAAGTAATGCAACATCAGCTCAGATCAATAGAATAACGAAGGCCAGTATTAGATACTTAGAAGTTAGACTCAAGAAACCCTAAAAGGGAAATTATTAAATTATCTGCATATAATGGAAGCTTTTTCCATGCCTCGTTCATTAGATGTTGGCTTGAATCCCAACATAGGCAGAACCATTAGCAGGAATTTGAATTTGACCAATTTTGAAGGGTTGTGTCAGAGGAGAAGCCATGGCATACTTTTTCTTTAGATGTGTGCATGCCCCTGCATTTCACACAATTTTTTAAAATACCGTATAGCTACAGACATTCTTAAACACCCTATCCCTTGAATTCTGCCAGTCTTGGCCTCCCTGAAATCTCATGCCAGTAACATTCCACCAGCAAGCTGTGTATGGCTTCTTATACAAGCTGCCTTTCAATTTATTCCATGGCCTCTTGCTCCTGTATGATAAAAAGGAACACCTATTTTACTTTTCCTGTACCATTTGATGGGAGCACCTGATTTGCCTTTTGTACCATTATATATTTAATTAGCTATCAACTTATCTTATTTGTCTCCTCTCTCAACTATCCCATTCACTGGCCAAGTTCAATCCTTCTCTATTTCTGCAAAAGATTACAAAGGGGAAATATTTCCATTCATCTTAACTTTTATAGAAGGTTGTTTTAGTAAATATACTATAATATGAATCAGAGAATCCAGTCCTCTAATTGACCACACAGTTAATTTCTGATTTAAACAGAGCTCTAATGGAACAGGGATTTCAGAATTTGGTCTCTATCCTCTCCAGCAGGTCCTGACAGTAACCAACTTTTTCTGCCCACCAGAAACTATAATTTAATTTTTTGTTAGCTCAGTTCAGCAGTGAATAGGAGTAGTAAGTGCTCAGGAGGTTTGGATAAATTCGTTTTCTTGTTCTTAAACTTTTTTGAATTATGACTGGTAAAAAATGAAAAAAAAATCCCAATTGTGAGTTTTCTAGCTGCCCTCGTTTTCCTTGCTCCAGCAACTGCCAACCTGAACTATTACTAACCATGAAAGTAGTATTTTAAGATTGCATGCCAACACTGTATTTATTCATTCTCTCCTCCCCCCTACCCCGCCTTACATGTTGTTTGTTTGCAGCTCTACTGTACACGGAATCATCTGGAACATGCATTTGAGAAACAAATGTGAAGTGATACAAATTACTCTCACTTTTTACTGAAGTCCAAAGCAAGAGGAGATCAAAAAGCCCAGTTTCAGTCTGCACACCTATCTCTTGGTAGCTTATTCTTACTTGATTTTTTGTCTTTTGGGTGTGCATTTCAGTAAGCGAGACCTAGGATTTGGTACCTTTTAAATTAGTACTTACTGAATAATTTTAAAGTGACTTGTTGTATGAGTTGACGTTAGAACCATGAACAGAAGTGATTTTTCAGTTTAAGGGTTAAACAAAAATGTTAATCATATTTTGGTCCACCCAAAATAAATAATTCTATTTTCTGACAGCAAAGCATAGGGGAAATTATTTGGGGCTGAACAAAACATTTCGGGTTTTTTAAATCACCTTTTTCAAAAAGTAAAATAATATGCAAATAAAAAGGCAAATTGAAACATTTCATTTAGAAAAATGTCAAAATGAAATGTTTTTAAATTTTTCACTTTTCCAACCCTGTATTTGGTAAATCTGACACAAATTCACAATGTGCATCATGTAACCGCAATAGACTTTTTTTTTTTTTTTTAACACAAGTAAGGAAAGTTTAATCTGACAAATTTTGACCAGCACTCGTGTTGTCAAACAGTGAATAATAAATGCTGCACATGCTCTGTATTCACCCAGCCACTTACCCTACCCGTCCCCTTACTCTGCTCTCGCCCTCCCCCCTTAAATTATGCTTTGCAATAGTTGTAACTGTAGACTTTACCAGAACACTGTGCATCATGAAGGATGGAAAGGAATGTGGCCAAAAGTCATTAATTAAAAGCGCAGATTGTTGGTTTTTACCATAGCAAAATGACATTCCACGCAGCATGGCACTTAGCTTTTCCCACCTAAGTGTCCATCCAAACTGAACTCCAGACATGCCCATATTCAGAACCTCCTCTTCAAACCATGAGCCCAGCACATGAACTCTCAAACAGCGTCACAAGATATAATCAAAAGATGCTATCAGGTGGGGCAAAGGGCCATCTCTGGGGGGGGGGGGGGGGAGGTCTCAACCTTGGGTACCCCACTTAATGGAACAATTGCCTCTTTGACACGTCTCATCCCAGCCTACCATGATCCCCTTCACAACTTCAGCTATCATTGTGGCCACTCTAGAAATAATTGCTCCATAGACCCACTGTCAGCTTTCTCCTCCCTGGGTCCAAAGATGTGCTGAGTGTTCATGACATTCATGGAGCCCCAGTCCCCTTACACCCTCCCTCCCCCATACCCCATCTAACAAAATTCTCCTCCCACCACAAGCACCTTCTGAGCCCCAGCTTTTCCATCTGCCTTCTAAAAACTTCCTGCCCATACTGACCTTCTTTCCCTTTCAACCCTCTGGCGATCTCATTCCCTCCTCCACCCCCAGCTGCTCTGTAAGCTTCTCCTTTCCTCTACTCACAACCGCAATAACAGATACACTTCAACCTCTACCTCCTGAACTTCCCCTTCCCCCACCCACACCCTCAGTTCAGAGCCCTCTCTACCACATACAGCCCCTGAAGCTGCTGCCCAGGGGCCTTTCTTTGCATTTGCGCTGGTCTTGAATTTCTTCCTGTGTCCAGACCCTGCTGATATGCTGGCTACCTTTCAGCACCAGCCGTTTCTTTTCCCATGTTCTTTTGCTTCAAGGCCCAGCTCTTGCTTTGTTCCTTCCTCACTGACCAGTGCTTGCCCCTCCTTTGTCCAGGCCCCATAGCTAACACCAGGTGCCTAACCTGCTCTTCCTCCAAAGCGAACATCTCTCTGTCACCTGCCCCCAGTGCCCTACTGCAGACTCATGTGATGCAGGGGCGTCAGGGCACATGGAGAAAGCAACCGAGGGGAAAAGGAACATGAGGCTCCCCATTCCTCATACATTTTCTGTTTCTAAGAAAAGCCCCAACATCACGTTAGTGCCTGATACTAGTACCACATTTCCTGTGACTGATGATTTATGGCTTACCGCCTGCTCCTGGCTCCAGTCCATCATGGTGGTTAGTGGGGGGGGACAGAGCAGAAGTCAGGGCAGGGCCTTGGGGATGTGGGAGGACAGCAGGCTGGGGGCATGAGGAATGTAGGTTGTGGGGTGAGGAGGGGCTCAGGGCAGAGGGTGAGGTGAGGAATCAGGGCAGAGGATTGGGAGGAGGAGGAACAGAGCCTAGATTGGAGAGTGGGCACCAGCTTCTCCCCGGGAGCAGTAAGAACTGAACCTCCCCCCCCCCCCACTAGCTTGTGCCTGGGGCAGGGAGGGCGGGGGAGCTGCACATCCTGCTTCTTCCTGGAAGGTCAGAAGGGTGGACTGGGCCATGTAGGTTAGCCAGTCCCAGTCTGGGGGTGGAAGAGATGGTTGCCAGGGAGCGGGCGCACTAGGTGGCCTAGCAGTGCTGGAGGGGGCAGGCTCTGGCTCCTTCAGGGAATGGCGGGTCTTTCTCCTCACAGCTTCACCATCTGGTGGGGCTCTTCTCCCCTCCCCCCAGTGCTGTGGCCTAAGGCTGGGGGGAGGATTTGGGGGCAGAGGGGTCACTTAGGTACCTTGGTGATAGGCAAGATGATGAGCCTTCATCCCCTTCTAGCCACTCTTTGGGTGCTGCAGGTGCCCCCAGTGGCCACTTTGCAGTATAGTTCTCACCTGCACTCACTGACCTCCCCCTCCCCGCCCCGTGATCACTCTGCATATCACTCTCCTCTGATCAACTCTTCCCTTTCCATGTTATGGAAAACAGTCCCATTCTAGAGACTCCTCATATTCCTGGCACAGCCAACCCCTGAATTTGTTTCCAGCTAGGATAAAAGGAAGTTGTGTACCAAATTTGGAGGCTCTAGTGCTTACCGTTTAAGAGCTCTTGAACAAACTCACAGAGAGAGAGACAGACAGACACATGCACAATTCTAAAAAATACAGATAAAATTTGCAGCACCTTTTGGAAGAATACCAACTGCAAAGTTATTTTATGTTTTATCTATTACCTCTTGTAGATCATTCAAGACTCCCAGCATCATAAAATCCAGCATAGGCCCCAGGCCTCAAAGAAACAGCTTTGGGGCCTGTGGCATTAGAAGCCTAACCAAAATAAAGTTTAATGCAAAGATGGGAAAAAAATACAAAACTTGCTTTTTATTGTACAGAACCACAACTATAATTTAACAGTCTCAAATAAATAGCTACTGCGATCTATATACAACTCGGGTTATTGGGTCATTTATTCAAACTAATAAATATTAAAACAGTTATATTGTGGTATTTTTCTTTGTGTAAAATGTGGCAAGTTGCATGTAATGCAATTCATGCAGAAGTCTGAGGAGATATAACAAATCAACACAAATACATCAATACCAATACAAAAATATCAGTTTTGCAAACCTTCCCCTGTTTTCATTTCACTGTTAGGCAAAATTATCCCAATCCCAGGCAGTCATGTGTCCAAGGCACTTTTAGGAGGAGGAAGCTTGTCAGGGCCTTGTTTATCATTTTTTGTGTACAGTCCATGCTGGATATCCTTGGTGCTCATTGGAAGAATCTGGCAGAAGAGAAACAAATTGCTTTTGTAAAAAGTGTATATGATTTTAGTGCAAAGCTGACAGCCTTATATGCTGATTAAATGATCTCCTCTGAGGAAGTGGGTTTTGCCCACGAAAGCTCATGATACTATAAAGTTACACACTAACACGGCTATACCTCTGAGACTTGTATGCTGATAGACTGCATCTGCCTGTGCCCAGAGATGGAGGACAAGTTTCTCCTGCATAGCCCTACCAATGGAACTCAAGTGGTCACAATAATGCCAACACACAGAACTGAAGCTTAGTGCATGCGCCTCTACAGCTTAAGCTAAATGCCAGCTGGCTTGCAGCTAAGGCTGTAAAGGAAAATCATTTGCTCTCCCTGTAAGTGGTCTAAGAGCCACTATATAGGACAGTGAACCACACTCAGTAGGTGCATGGGCTACAACAGCAATACAGCCTCCACAAACTATCTTTAACCTTAGCCTCTGCACAATGCTGCTTTCTTTGTATCATAGAGCTGTTGCTGAAAGTATTTTCCCACAGTGATTCCCCTGGTGTTGTACTGAATAACTGTTTAAGGATCATACTGTAGATCAGACTGAGCCATTTTCATTTCTGTTTTTCAAAACACTACTGATCTCTGAAAAGTCACTTCACTTTTTCCCTACCTGAAATTAGAATTAATGATATTTATTCTATTTTTTTAAATGCTTAAATATAAAAATGAAATGGAATAGGCAAGAATTAAGTAGCAGTATAAGGCATACACAAAAGTGATTGCTATGATTTTCCATTGATAGTGAAATTTTCACAGTGGTTGAATTTTTGGACTTTCCTTCCCACCCTCGGGCCCTCTGTCACCCCTTCCACACACAAATAGATGGGATAATTTTTAGACACACTTAGCCTGGCTTAGGTACAAGGACAGCTATTTTATTCTGAGCCCTATTTCTTATAGACCTCTAAGACACCTTCTGCTCTGCATTACAGGCGTGTGCTATAAATTTATGCTTTCAAGAGTTCTAAACCATGAATTGCCTAAATATAAAATGGGACAAAGTATTGGGAATATGTTGCTACAGAAACTCCATTTCAGTTTATTGTTTTACTCTATCTTAGGCCCAGCCATGGACTGAGAGCACTGTAAAGGCACAAAATGGCTTAAGCCAGTATTTCTCAACCTTTAGTTACAAAGTAACCCTTTTAAAAAAAGTATAAGTACCGCCCCCCAGTACCTAGAGTTTTCAGACGCACAAATTTTTTTCTACCATTGCAAAAACATTTGTTTAAACAACATAATCATATCTGGGCGGGCGATGAAATTTTTGGGTGTAAAAAGTGCAAAAATAATAAAGCTCTGTAAAACTTAAAAATTCAGTTTTCTCCACAATTCAGTTGTGTTGTTATACCCCTCAGACTTCTCTAAAGTACCCCTAAAGATACTTGTACCACTGGTTGAGAAACATTGGCTTAAGCCATGTGGCTTACTATTATTAGACTATTTAATCAAGATGTTCAGCCATGTTAAACTGTTTTTGAGCTGTTTTAGTAAAGCCCTATTCCAGATGGATCACACACACACACACACTCCCTCCCGAGTTTCTCTGCTCTGTATTACAGGTGCGCATACTATCAGGATCAGAACAATCCTGTTCCTTCAAAGAACGGAACCTGAACGTGACTGGTTACAGCAGCATGGCCCTATTCTCAAACAAGATTAAACAGGAATCACAAAACACTTAAAGGCAAGTTTGACAATGATTGACAAACCCAAACGTTTAAACTCCAAGACCAGGGCATAGCAGCTGTGGATTTATTCACTGGCACAGACTAGTCTCTGGAAAGGCATTTTGGGAAGACTCACCCAACACAGAACAGCTTTGTTTCTATCCATTTGGCGTTGTCGCTTCCAGCGGTAGCAGAGGCACAAGATGCACAGAACTCCCAACAGAATCAGAGGAATCAATACGTAGATGTTGACAGCACCGACTGTGGCTGCT